GAAGGGCACTGAAGCTGGTGAGGTGTCTGGAACAGAAATCTTATGGGGAGCGGCTGAGTGAATTGGGGTTGTTTAATCTAGAGAAAAGGAGGCTGAGGGGAGACCTTCTCACTCTCTACAACTACATGAAAGGGGGTTGTGGCGACATGGGTGTTGGTCTCTTCTCCCAACTAACTAGTGATAGGACAAGAGGAAATGGCTTCAAGTTGTGCCAGGGGAGGTTTAGGTTGGATATTAGGAAAAATTTCTTCACTGAGAGGGTGGTCAGGCATTGGAACAGGCTGCCCAGGGAGGTGGTGGAGTCACCATCTCTGGAAGTGTTCAAAAAACGTGTGGATGTGGCGCTTCGGGACATGGTTTAGGGGACATGGTGGCACTGGATTAATGGTTGGACTTGATGATCTTGAAGGTCCTTTCCAACCTTAGTGATTCTGTGATTCTGTAACTTAGTAATTCAATTCTTAGTTTGACTCCTACTGTAATTTGTTGACAAGTGAAACCCTAAGCCCGATCATCTTGCTGTGACTGAACTCTACTTTTGAAAGGATGAACAAAAAAGTGCATACTAACCTTATTTGAAAATATACAGGCAAATTCCACTTATTGTTAAAGCTGTGGTAGGAGGGATGAGATCTTAACCGTTTCACGCTGGCCTGGGAGCCACACTGTCGTTCAAATTTCCGTACAAAATCCATACTAGTAGTGTACTTCTGCAGAAAGAGAAGGAGCATTCTGATCACACACAGGGTGCCAGCAAACAAGGAAGGCCACCACCCATTCAGCAGAACTCTTGTATCACACTACAGTTAAGCCTGAGTTCCAGAATGGGCTGACACTGCTCCCCATCACCTAATCATACAAGGCTGTACTCCTGGATTGCAGTGAAACAAAAACTAATTATCTAGTAGGTGTTATCCTATAAGAAAAGCTAGTGCAGGATGCTTAAGCATAAGATTGTCCAAGTACCCTGAATAAGTAGAACTGCTCAGAGAGATCCATCTGTATTTCCGAGCTGAATCACTGGGGTGTAACAACAGTGCCTCAGTCCTAAGCACAGAGTCACAGGAGATAAAGGGATACAACAAATAGAAATAATCAGGAACAAACCCCAGAAGTACACATAACCAAACACACATGAGAATGAAAGCATGATATTTTTTTCTGTTATATAGGACCTGTATTATAGGAATTTCTACAACTGTTTCCCTAAAAATGTTTCACAAACACCAAATATTTGCAGAAGAACTTTAAACAATTTTAGATAAACTAACTTTATCCAGTTGTATACTTCTAATAAGATGTTTACAAGTCAGTTGCAACCAAAGAAAAACCACATTAATCCTCAAATGCATTTTGGGCTTACTCTCAACAGAAACTTATTAACACCCTGAAAATAATGAAATAATAAATTAAATCATACGTGAAGCAGGATGCCAAATACTTGAGTGAAAACCAGAAGCAAAACAGTGCATAAAAATATTATTTCACACAAAACAGACTCTGCTAACAGAACACAAAGCTTATGTAAATCAATGTGAAGTCAAAATACAGCTACAGTAAAAATCTATCTCTCTGTAATAAAACCAGTTTGGCTTATGTGCAAGTTTCTTCTATTAAAAAAACCATAGAAAACAGCCATAAAACCTGTCTTACACGCTCATTAAGCTACTGCTGAATTAACAAAATAAGTCTGACTGAATCCTCAGTGCTTCTGATTCCACTGTGGTAAGAGGGGCAGTAGGGCTGTAGCAGCAAGGCTTTTACCACAATCCAGAGCACTATGTCAGTGATGTGATTTTGCCTCTTACAAAGCTGTAAAATATTCTCAGGAGAAGCCCCTGAGTTGCTGCTTACAAGTTCTGTTCTCAGAAACTCTAATCTGACTACAGGACATGCACTGACATGGGCATGCTTTTATGCATAATCTGCAGTTCTGGAAAAAAGCAAAAGCTAAAAGAAGCAAGTGAAACAAAGAAATTTTTTTTAACCTTCCCACAGTACAGGGCAAGTTGAAACCCAGGTATATAATTAACATTTCAGCCCTTCCTATATAGAAGTCCCAGTCTTGGGTGAATATTAGTTGTCCACTCCCACCTTCATTTATATTGCAATTCTATAACTAAGAGCGAACATCTACTCCTAAAACAAATACTAAATTTAAATTCACATGACTAAGTGGCTTTCAATAACTTCTATATGAGCTCTCCTGACAAACTCGAGGGGAGAATTAATTACTATGAGAATTAAATCAAGTGATTTGAGAGAACTTCCTCTTCCAAGCCATGGAACAACATGAATTTACACAGAAGCAGCATGGAAGACAGCTAGAGAACATGACTCATTCAATTCTTGTGTGTGTCAAAGGAATCACAAATGGAAAAAAATTAAAATTAATTACCTCATGAAACACATCTGGGTTTCCAGGGTTAAACAATGATGGCAATTTCTCTTCTAAACCGTGTACTATTTCTGGCCACACTGAATTCACTAAGAAATCATATCCAGGAACAATATCTGCTTTTTCACTGAAATAAAATTGCAAACATTCCACGGTTATATCTTATCAGCAGGCTTCTATTTGGAAGTAGGGATAACTAAAAAGACATGCACTGCATTAGACAAAATGCAATTATTTTTTTTGCGTAGGTATGCCGATTCCCTTAAAAACTGTTCTTCCTTCCAGGTTTCATATCTGATCCTACAGTCTCATCAAATGCAAGGTATTTTTTATAACTCTCAATGTGTTTTAAAATTTTATCAGTTACATATTTTTTAAGCGTGTTCTGTAAAATGAGTACACTCCAGCTGATAACTCCTATTCTTACTTGTATAATTCAAGTTTTAACAGCTTCAGACTTCAAAGAGGTACCAAGTAGGAGTAACGTGACTAATGCAATGGAAAGCAGCATAACTTTTTCATAATTGCTCCAAGTTGTATTTATACATGATATTGTGCTTCGAAGCAAAAGATTAAAAACTACCTTGATTATGAAAATTTATAAATTGAGAGCAAAAGAGATACAAGCATTTAATTCCAGTTCAGTACACCACAGTACAAAGTAGAAACATTCCATTATTAAGAAGAAAGATTAAAACTTGCTGAGGGATTAAAAGAACTGAAATGTTAGTAAAACTTTTGAGTCATAAAAATCTCAGCAATGGATGACTAATTAGAAAAGTAATTCTGCAGTCCCTGGGGGCTACATCCATAGTTCTGCTAATTACAGCAGTCTACTATATTAACCAGCCTGCAAATAGATGAATAAATGGATGCAACTCAGTAGACCTGAATTATTTAAATTTCAAAACAGGCAATTTAATTGCATAAGGAATTAAGCACTTTTACAGAAGACAGTGGAAGCACAAATCAATTAAACCTGTAGTTCCAGCACATGCAATAAATGAAACCTCTGGGGATCATCCCCACTTTTCTGATGTACACTAACAACCAATAACTTTTGATCTTATATTTTCTAATAGCTTTATTATGCCTTTCTTCTGGGATGAAACGTACAATCATCTTCCATGGATTCAAAAAAACAAGCTGACACATTGTATTATGAAAAGTACTCAATTCTACTACTGA